TCCTTATTTGTGAATTCTGAAGAACGCGGGGTCAGCAAGATCCTTATGCGAAGCTTTAACAGGAAATGATTAAATTAGATTAATTTAATCAAAAGCTGCCTATTAAGAAAAATTCCCAATTAAGAGCAGATTAAATGAGAATCAATTTATCAAATGATTTCTACGAATCTGCCGTAATAGGAAGTGGACCGGGTCTCCACCTTCCTCAACAAAAGTAGCTATCAATCATTTTCCAAATTAAAATGGAGCAAAGATAACTTACAAGTATTTTTCAATTCAAAAGAAAAAAATATAGAGAGCCAAAAGCAGCCCTCAAACTTTTTCCAAATCGACATGGAGCAAAGATAAATTTTAAACCTTCTCCATAAATCCAAGCATCTCTACAATTGATGGTGAGACAAAGGGGTGGAGAGATTAAGGCAGCTACTTACATACTACCAAATTCCTATGTGTTTACATGTCTGACATTTAAACTTCAGTTTTTACATATATGTATTACCATTCCTTTGCATAAAAAAGAGCTATATTTCACTTTTTTTTTAATTAAAAAAATGCCTTTGGTGTGAAATGAAAGATTGGAGTTGTATAAATGTAGAAAGCAATGTCCACATATTAGATATGTAAATACATAGGAACTACATGGTATGCATATAAATGAACTTGTTTATAATACATCAGATCCACTATTATGATATACTCCCTATGATTCCACTCATAAGCTTTATGAAAACCACAAACCAACAGTTGAAAATGCAAAGAGGCTATTGGTAACAGAATTTGTGTAAAAATTAAGCAGTATTTAAACAAAATTCATTTGACAGTATGTTGCTCAATTTTTATGTATTTACACATCCAAAATGTTTCATATCACATCTAAACGGCCATTTTTAACCATTTAAGAAGTCAAATACACTTTTTCATGCATAAATTTATAGGATCAAGATGTTATAACTTTGACTCGATCTCTAACAATCCTCATGCCAAGGATTTGTTTTGCTGCTCCCAAATCCTTCATTGCAAAATGCTCTGACATCTGCTTCTTCAGATTATTGATCTCATAAATATTGGCCCCTGCAATAAGCATATCATCTACATACAACAATAGGATGATATAAGAATGGTCAAAGTACCTGACATAGCAACAGTGATCTGCCTGACATCTGCTGTATCCGGCATTTTGCATGAAATTATCAAACTTCTTGTACCATTGTCTAGGAGCTTGCTTCAGATCATACAAACTTTTCTTCAGTCTACAAACTGAATCTTCTTTTCCTTTTACCACGAACCCTTCAGGCTGGTGCATATAGATGTCTTCTTCAAGGTCTCCATGAAGAAAGGCTGTCTTCACATCTAATTGCTCCAGGAATAGATCTTCGGTAACAACCATAGCCAGGACCATCCCGATGGTTGTGAGTTTTACCACAGGAGAAAAGATCTCAGAGTAATCAATGCCTTGCTTCTGTTGAAAGTCTTTTGCAACAAGTCTGGCCTTGTACCTTTTACTGCCATCAGACTCAGTCTTTACCCGGTACACCCACTTATTGTGCAATGCCTTCTTCCCTGAGGGAAGTTTTGTCAGTTCCCATGTCTGGTTTCTTAATAGAGAATTCATCTCCTCCTTCATGGCCAGCTCCCACTTGCTAGAATTTTCATTTGTTAAAGTTTCTTCATAGCTATGTGGTTCCCCACTATCTGTCAGCAAGATGTAGTTTAAAGTTGGTGAGTAACACTGTGGTGAACGCCTGCTCCTGACTGACCTACGAACGG